GGGGGGGGCCCCTAGAGAGCTCTCTCTGCCCTCAGGCCCCTCACCTCCTCCTCTAGCAGGGTCACCCACTTGCACCAAGGGCAAGTGTATCCCTGTCTCTCCCGGGGGAGAAGGGCGAACATGTCGCAGCTCTCGCAGCAGACAGCAACACCCGTGACTCCCGCCAAGGCCATCTCCTGGTCTGCCATCGGTATCCCTTCCGAGACCTTACCTTGGTCCCCTGCCTTGTCTGTCCTGCAGTTCCTCTCACTCACCCAGGTCTCCCAGACGAAAACCCACTCGCACACACACACAAGGATAAAATAAACTTAAATTTAAATTGGAAGAAAAACAAAGCACAGCACAGCACAAACAAAACAAACAAACAAACAAACCATCAAACCCCTGTGTCTCAGGGAAGGGAGTCTCCGGTCAGCCCGGGCCACAGCCAAGGGACGACGCCCCGCCCCTCTGCTCCCTCCTGGCCCCTCTGGCCCCGCCCCCTTCCTCTCCGCTGCTCCTGGCCCTCCGCTCCGCTGCCCAGCTCCTCCCTTGCCTTCGCCAGTCCCCTGGCCACTCAGCCCTCTCTCCCAGCCTGTACCTCTGCTGCTCTGCCAAGAGGCCAGAGCCAAAGGGCTGGCAGTGGCTGCGCGCAGCCTAATCAGTCTCTCATAAAAATGTCCCTCAAAAAAACATAAAAATGTGTGTATTTTTCATCCCAAACTAGATTTCTTGATTTTGCAGAATTTAAATTTTACAGGATAAGATTAAGTAACAGGAAAAATGGGATGGGTTACCAAATGGTAAGAGGTGAATGAGTGATTAAAAAAAGTGAAGATTTGGGAAGAGATTACATAGCAGAAATTCGATCAGCAAACTTTTAAAGCTCTCAAACAAGAGCAGTAGAAACTGCACTGACTAGAATATTTGACTCAGCCTCCGATTCAAACTGCGAGCTCTTTTGTCTTGGACTGATTGAGAAGTTGTTTGCTTCAATTTGGGTACCAAATCTGAGTTGGGATTCAGGGCTTTGTTGCTCCCATAAACCATGGTAGAAATTTAAAAGGTAGCTATATGTTTTTTTTCCTCTTAGTTACAATTGGTTGAAATATGCAACCATTGCAGCTCCTTAGAAGGGGACCAAGCTTCCCAGAATTCATAAGAACAGGTTCAGGTGTTGCTGTTTTGTTTTGTGCTATGTACTTTTAGAGTTTGATTTTTTAAAGGAACTCCTGGCAACATTTTTACTACTTGGCAGAACTGGATGCCTTTCACAGGTATAGCAGCCCCCTGTGAGGAAGTCTAGCATGCCAAGATTCAGATTTTGTGCAAGAGCAGCATTCACACGGTGAGGGTATCCCAAGTGGGCCATATAAGGGGAATAAGGGGGGTTGCGCTTATCTCCACCTCTCATCCACATCAACAGGAAAACAACCACAAGCCTACATGTGTCCCTAAGTAAGAAAACAGCAATGTTTCAGAAAGTAATTGCAGAGATCTATGTAGAAAGAATTCTCAAATTCTGGGAGTAGCTACATTCTTTTTTTCCTTCACTGTTTTGAACAATTTGTATGAAATCAGCACAGATCATTTACATGTCTCCAGGCAAAAAACCTGAGAAGTTACAGGTTGATAATGCTGATACAGAAGGGAGTGCTGATGCTCGGAAAGGGACTTGGGGCTTTTTAATAACGAACAACGGCATGGGAAGAATGGGGCACCAGGAAAGAGTTTTTACTGCGGGAGAAAGTCTGAGTGAAGGATCTAGGTAACATTTGAGAAAGAGAAAGGAAAGGGTTTGAAATAATTATGAAATTTAGAACTTGAAGCTTCCCACCCCATCCTAACCTAGAACATCCTCTTTGCTTCAGTTTGCTATAGTGAACAAGTAGGAAAAACAGAAGAACATGCATAATTTTTCACACATGAAAATTCACAAATCTTCTATTCCTCCCCTATAGTTGTGATTTGAAAGCTCCCAGTAAAGTATGCTCTAGGATTTGTAGGCAGGCCTGTCAATCACTCAACTCCATCCCTTCCCCCTTTCAGCATTGTTCACAGAACAAAAGCCAGAGATGGGATTTTGGAGGAGGGAACATCAGTGTCTCTGAAGATGGGCTTCTTTAATAAGCTTTTTGTGCATATAGGTTTGCTTATGGTAGCTTTAGAGGTAGGCAGGATGCAACCTGGAAAGCAGAAGACATGGTTTGAAAGAGCCCAATTTGGCTCAGCTTTTGTCTAAATTGACTTCACCAACACCAACACCTAGACCACCCCCCCAACACACACACACACACACACACACACACACACACACACACACCTTTTAGGAAGGAGAAAATTGACCACTTCTAAAAAAAAACAAAAAAAACAAACAACTGAGCAAACTTCCTCAGAAAACTTCCTTTCCCACTCAAGCCAGCATCTTTATGATGACAATTCAGCTCAGATTTTTGCTTTATAATAGGACAAGTCTCATCTTTTTTTCACAGCAAAACAGCACATTCTTAACTTACAACAAGCTTCTAAAAATGAGAGACCTCATAACATAATTCATGCTGTTCAAGAACGTTAAATATGGAGAAACTATTGCAACCACAACAGACAGGAAGTGGGTATGAAAAAGTGCAAGAAGGCAGCTTGGGAAGAATATGTGGCAAGCCCCTGTGTGCTACAGACTTCCTGAAACTTACCTCAGCCAATAAAGTAAAGAACTGCTTGAGTACAGCTAATGGCTCTTCATCAAGATAAGTGAAATGCATTTCAGTTCGTCGCAGAGTACAAAACACTGAAGACTCCAGGTCAGCCTTGTAGTCTGACCTGTGAGGGAGAGCGAGGAAGTGAGGAAGAAAGAAGGCGTGATTAATGTGGTCACCACATCATTTACAAAGCACAAATCAGCAACTTTGTTGCAAAGCACAAATCAGTCTCCTCTTGGCTCTACCAGTGGTCAACTCAGGGGGAAAGGGTGTGTGTGTGTGGGGGGGTGCGGTTAGTAGCAGCTGTGGCCACAAAATGTGATGACAATCCACAGAAGAAGTGGGAGGAGACCTGACAGGACATTCTGCATGACCCAAAGTGGACCTCTAGTAAAACTAAATCTTGATCAGGGATTTAGCCCATTTTCGATATAACTATTGTCATTTCCCAGAAGACCATTGATGTTCATCTACTGCAGCAAAAAAGTAGCGAGTCTGAGGAATGTATTGTGGCATAAGTTTTGGTGGGCTACAGGCTAACCTCCTCACACAAGTGGATCTGTTAGTCCTGAAGCCCACGTGTCTTCTCTTCCCTCCTTGGGGATTCTCCTGAGCTACAGAGCACGTTGACTAGGAAGCTGAGCTGAGCATGCAGCTCCTCTCCCTGTCCAATTCTATTTGGTTCCAGAAAAAGCATCTCCGTTGTCTCCCCATCACATGCAAAACACCCCAGGATGGGGTAGCAGGGGGCTGCAGTTCCCAACCACACCTCTTACCTTGCCTAGCCAGCCAGTTGGCAAGCACTGGGGATCTTTGCCCCATGCATGAGATGGCACTGCCGTGTCACGGGAGCAACAAGCAAGGGTGGGCAAATGAGCAGTGGTGTGCTTGCCAGGCTGGTGCTCATCTCTCCTCAAATTGCACTTGCATTTGTGATTGCTATCCGTGTTGTGCAAATGGAGAAATCGCACAAGACAATTCAGGAGCCACTGAATGTGAATGTTTCACAAACAGTTCCCAAATCTGTGCAAACTTCCAGGCCTGCACAAGTTTTCCTCCTAAAGTCTGAATGATTTAAAATGTGCACATTTTGAGAAAGTCATGTATTTTGGGAAAGTTGTGCATTTTTCATGTACATATTTGCAAAAATGAAGGCAGGGTTGGTTATTCGGGAATCCTTTGCAGAAAATGTTTATGTGCAGGATTGTGAATGGAGCATTTTTGAGTGATTCACAAAGTGAACTAACATTCTTAGACATTGAGAATAACAAGCCTGCCATCAAGGATACCTGGCTGTACAGGACAGTAAGGGTCTCTTCTCTGATCAGCCTTCCTGCTGATCCCAGGGAGAAAAGGAAGTCTATTTTGCGTCTGATTTTGTCATCTATTGCTCCCCAGCTGAACAATGGATATGCTACTTGATTTCTCTCCTCGTACGCTTTAGTTTAATACCATTTTGATTTGTTTGGAATCTGGGGGTTCACTGCATAGACATCTCAAGAGTAATCTTTCTTCCATACATGTGGTGGCAGCCAATTTCTCCATAATATTTATCAGGACGCACTTCCCTCAGAAGGCAATTTATAATTTTATAAAAATATGAGTATGCAAATTACAATTACACATATTTTAAGCACCAGTGCAAACTGAAACAATGTGCCTTCAGGTATTATGTTGAAGCCAGGAGTGATGACCACATAATATCACTCTGTAGAGGAAATTCCAAAGGGGAGCTTCTTGACTTAATGGGGGCTCAGACCCAATCTCTCGAGTCCCAAACCAATGATCTAACCATGACACCAGGCTAGCTTTCCCAACAAAGTGGCTGTGAGCTCCAGGGAAACCAGTAAGGTGGCACTCTCCCAAATACTGTAGGTCTGGCTGAAAAGGATGAGAAACACACAGCAGATTAGGCTCCACTCTGTGGGGACTGGGATTGGGCCATTAATCTGCAGGTTTTGGTATTTGTCATGACAAGACTAGGAAAATAAGGGAGTGAGGAAAGCAAATAAATCAAAGGACGTGTATTTGAGACTAGCTGAAATTCAGATTAGCTTTACTTACACTGACCTAACCTGAAAAGTTTAGGAAGGAAGATTCGGGAGCATTCTGGCTAGCGCTAACAAAAATTAGTGCAGTTACACAAATGCTGGCTCCCTCGGCTAGGAAACAGAGATGAGCACCGCCCCCTAGGTCAGGCATGACTGGACGTAACGTCAAGGGGGAACCTTTACCTTTTATAATTCTTTATTCTGTTTTGTGTTGGAGCTGTAGTGCTGTAAATTAAAGAGCTACCACTAATGGGGGACAGTGGGTTTGTGAGCTTAATGGAGAAGCCTCCTGTCCTCATTTATCTTTCATCAAGATGCTCTTATTAATCAGTCAAAGGTGGGGCTTAGGTCATGCACTGTGGCACCTCAGGAAAAATAACTACCAGTTATTCTTGGCCATCCCATCTTTCCATACAAGCTGTTGAGCTCTGGCAGGGCTTTCTTTACTCCTTGCACTAAAGCTGTGTTGGATCAGTTCTATGTAGTCATCACTGGCTTACTTACAACAGTGCACTTAACGATAAAAGGAAGAGAAGCAGCTAAATTGTTCTCACTTGTCTGCTGCCTTCCAGATGGTAGTAGGCTTAGCCTCTGGTTTAATCACTGGTTGCTCTGGTACTACGATTTTTTTGTTGACACCCGGTAGCTTCTGCAGTGCTTTTGCATAACCGGATACAGAGGCGTCCCTGGAAAGGAGTAAAATATAAGGTGAGAATCTCTTGAGATAACGGTCAGTTTTCATCTTTTAACCTATTACAAAGAGCCCCTTCAGTTGTATGCAGGTTAAACAGATTTTCTGACAAGATATTCAGGAAACATGCTGTACTGACTATTTTGTATAACATTAGTATACAGTTTTGCACAGTTGGTTCACTTCTACACTACTGTCAAAAGCTTTTCAAATATTGTTTGAAGAAAGGAAGGACTTTTGTCTCAAGGAATCTATTCCCAGAATGAAGTAAGTTACCAAGCAGATTACACAGAATTATTGTGCTGGTACCCATTGTAGTAGTACTTGTTCCAATTTTACATAAAAGCACAACTGGGCGCTTGAACTGGACCTCCATCTTTGCTTACACACACTGTCCAGTTTGAATCTGGTTAATCCCTGCCCACTCAGTGGCCTTGGTTTGAGCTTTCCCAATCTAACCAGGGTTCTTGGGATGATCAAAAAGGGTAAGCCCATGCTTTTCTTAGGAAGGGCAAGCTACAAGCTTCTTCTTCCTTTATGCATTTTGCAAAGCTATGTTTAAAATTAGCTGTCTTGCGTTCTACTAACTTTTAAAAAATGTGCTTTTGCAAGCTCCTTGGATTCATTTGATAAAGAAAAGTGTGATACACACAAACTATATTCATTGACCACAATATGGCCCCTTCTCAGACTCACTAGACACCTTCCCAAGCTAGACCTCCAGGGTATGCCATGCACGCATTTCCTCTGTTTGCCCAGATGAATAATCATGCTCTTTAAAACACAGAATTAGTCAACAAACATCCATTTCCCAGTTTAATTATATGTTTGAAACACTTCTCTGATGAGCATTATGCCCACACGGTTTGTAGAGCAATGCTGCCCAAGTCCCACAGAAATAAATGGCGTTTTCACAATAACATGTGCCCGATGGGCTGCGTGCAAACACCCCTGCCCTCGCCTGCAACCACCTGTCATCGGTGAGCATTCCTCCCCAATGCAAGAACGCTATGCAAGAAGTTTCAATAGGTATGGTGTTGTTAAATGACTGGATTCCACAAGTCCCACAAGAATATCATCATATAAAGAGGGCAAGTGCAAGTGGGCAGACAATGGGCTGTGACTCACGAAAGCAGGAATACACAGGAGTTTTGGTCGTGAAACTGGAAGAGAGAAGGGTAGGAGGTGACAGCACATGCGCTCGCCAGCTTTTCATCCTTCTTCAGGACTCTCCTCACAGTAATGTTCTGGAACTGGGCCATGTTCAGAATCACCTAAGATCAGAGGCACGTATTGCATTAGTTACTGCTGCAGGCGGAGCTGCTCTCTTACCACTACACACCATCCACCTTCTTCTAACCTCCTGGCTGAATTGTAACCTTTATGATACCCAGTGGAATATACATTGCTTGTGTTCTGCATTGCCTGTAAGGGAACGATCGCTCCCAAGAGCTGCATTAAAAAATGAGGGTGGTGCACTTGTGCTGCCTTTGACAGCACCAACTGGCACCTGGTGTATGGGATGTTGGTCCATCTGGCCCAGCACAGCTGATGCTGGCAGGCAGTGGTTCTCTGGGGTTCCAAGAAGCTTTTCCTGTCCTACCTGGAAATTACACCTGGAACCTTTTCCATGCAAGGCACGCTCAGCTACTGGCTCTCCAAACAGACTCCCTTAGCCAAGGGTAGTTTTTCTTCCCTCTGGGGAGAGGGCAGTGGGCAATGCATGCTGCCAGGCCTTCATGTAATCTTTTCAAATGCTCACAGATCCCCCCAGGCTGCTTTGAGTACAACAGGAATGCTTGCAGACTCCTCTTGGCCTTCAGAACAAGTGCCTGGAAGTGGCCTGAACAAACATATCCTTTGCTTATTCTTTCTGTGATTTCAGTGAAGTCATTTGTTGCTTCTGGAAGGTGGGGAGATGCCATCTTTAGGGAACAGGAATAGAGGTATAGCGGAAAGGAATCATTTCATCGCAGGTCATCCTGATTCCTGGCAGGCAAACTTTCTGTTTGGCGGTTCAGCTACATCATCACACTTCTGTAAAGGTGCCCATTGCAGTAAGGAGAAGCCAAACGAACCTATGCACATACCAGGCCAACTGGTAAAGCACAAACCCAGGTAAGGCACTGCCCATGTGCCTTGCCAAAACAAAACAACCAGCCATGGCTCCCTTGCCCCCCCTCCCCCCACACACACACAGGAAAAATACCTGCCCTCAGGGAGAAACATGCTGATAGGTGGATTACAATGGGAACGAGGGAATAAAGCTGCTTCTACCAGTGCTACAGTCCCGATCCAACACATAAAAGAAGGCCTAAACATGCGAACATCCTCATATCTCACTTGATCTTTAGACTGCAAGAACTGACCCGAACAGTTAAATCAAGAGTTTCCCTATTTTCTTAAACAACTGGGAAATGCAGTCCCAGATGGCTGCCAGGTGCTCTTTGGGACTTCCCGCAGAGTCAGAGCATTCTTTCCATGCTGACTGCAGCTTCAGGGTTGGAGGACTGATCCTGGAGAGGGCATTGGCTGGGTGTTCTGGCAGACAGGAAGGGGAGACGTGAGGCTCTGACGGGATAAGATGTATCATGGTGTTGCCTCCATCTGTCCTCCCTGTGAGTTGTGGCAAAACACTTAGATGGCCAAAAGACTTTTGCAGGGTGGTAAAGGCACAGGGGGAGCATCCTCAGCAGGTTGACCATAATCCTCTGCGGTCAGAGGGTTATAGGCAGCCATGTTGAATGAGAGCAGTCCTCCTTACCTGGAGTTGTGGGTAGCCAGATTCAGGATAGATAGCCATCAGCATCTAAAGCCCTGCTGAGTTTTGAGCAGATTTACAAAATGAAGCTTTCCTGCCTCGTTAAGACCAACTATGACTGGCACAATTAAGGGGCCTGCAGATCTACAGCCTCTCATGACATGCCCTAAAATGTCTTGTTCTGGCTTCTGCTATCCACAAAACACCCTAGGAAGGTTGGCCATGATGGCAGAACTTCCTTTTCCACACTATAGATGCCGGTGGCCAAGGATCTTCCTCAGCAGCCCTCCCTGGGAGGTTAGAATTACTACTGTAGACGTACAGTTTATTAATATGAGACAAGATTAAATATCGAGCTGATATTTTATTTACTGGGGAGTACAACAGGGTTATTCTGCCTCTCTTTACTGTACTTAAGGCCTTTCCAGAGGTACATGCACATTCCATGAGATGCCCGTCACATCCAAGTAGAACATCTGCCAGCTGGTGCCCTGCCGTCAGATGGCCACTGCTGCACCTCCAAACTGTTTCCATGGTTATGCCATGGCTGCCCTAGGCCATCCCCCTTACCAAACATTGATCCTTCACCTATAGAATATTTGCCCCAAAGAGGCTTTTGAAGCCTGAATCCTGCGAACTGACAGCCCACCCCTGCCCCCTGCTGCTGCCTTTCCCCACTTCTAGGGAAATGGAGAGAGCAGCATTGTTCCTCCAGGCAGCAGAGGCAAAGTCAGGCATCCCTGAATGAAGCCTGGCAAATACGTCCACACGTGTCACAAGCCCATTTTGCTTTTATTTGTCTGTTTACTCCCACGTGGCTTAAACCATCTGTAGTTCAAGGAAAAAAAAGTTTTGCAAACTGTCATTATCCTGTGCTTGGAGAAGGTGCCGGTCTCCTCCTCTGACAGTTGTGCCAAACGGGGGATTTCTCCAGGCACAGCATGCCATGAAAGCCGCCCCTGCAAAAACCCCTTATCTGCACACCTGCTAAAAGGAGCAGGGGCCATTCTTAGTTCATGCAGGTAACCAGGCAAGTGGAGATTTGCAAGTCTGCTGTAATGCTTATATTAACATTAAGAGTTACCTCGCTGCCCAAAGTTGATGATTCATCCTCAAATATCAAGAACACCTTATTTCCCTGGGTTTGGAGGTCATCGCTGGCACTATAAATGACAAAGAAAAGGACAGGCTGAACAGAACTTGTGACAGCTACTTTCTCGCACATTCCCAGCACGGACTTCCCAGCGTCATTCCATCAAAGGAGATCCTCCCAGTCACTTAGCATTTATTCCTGGATATAAACCTAACACAATACCTATCCTCTGCCCAGACTTCACACATGGACATGTGGTCCAGTGAGAAAGAATAAAATTTCATTTAGAAATGCAGAGGAAAAACGCTCTCTCAGAATGAACCTAAAGTGCTCTGTTCTGTGTCATCGTCTTTTCTTACTTTACCTGAGTGGCGTCAGTATAGGGGCATCAGGGGACCAGTATGCTTTTTCGTGCTTTGCTACCAATGCAATGATCTCTTTCTTCAGGCTTTGTGGGCTAAGCTCAGTGACTGTGGATGGAATAAAAGCATATTATGATTCACTCCCATGTCAGCCATCAGTTCCACATGCCACTAACAAACAGCTGCCACAAACAACAAGCAAACACAACAAATCCCATCAGAGTTCGTTGATCGGATGAAGAGATTTTGGCATGAGGACTAACCCTATTCTTCCCACAGCAGCAGCATCACTCCCTTGTCTTGCAAAGGCATCCCCCTTAGAAGCCTTAGGCATTTGTGCGACGCACACAAACTGTATAACATTTTCCTCCAGTTGCTGCATTCATATTAGAAGCTGAGAGAGAGAGAGGAGCCCAGGGGACTCCCAGCAACAATGTTTTCCAGCATCAGTGGCAAATTGCTGGTTGCAGCACAATGGTCCTTCTGAAGCTGCCCCAGGGGACCCACTCTATCATTTTAAAACCCAGGGCTTAGGGGCAAGTGACTGCTGCCTGTTGGATATGAGAAAAGGCACAGGGAGAGCCATGCTGGATCAGTCCAAGAGGCCATTCCAGCCAGCATTCCATTCAGAGAACAGCCAACCAGCTGCCCTGGGAAAACCCACAAGCAGGACATGACTGTGACAAAACTCCCCTGCCCATATGCCCCAGCAGCTGGGGTATGTATTCCCCCTTTAGTACAGGAGGGAGCATATAGCCAAGATGACCCATAGCACCAACAGCCTTGTCCAATCCCCTTTTAAAGCAACCCCAACCAGTGTCCATCACATCTTCTGGTAGTGAATTCTATTCTTCAACTATGCACTGTGTGAAGAAGTACTTCCTTATCTGTCCTGAATCTCTTGCCAATCAACTTCATGGGATAACCCTGGACTTGAGTATTACGAAAGACAAGGGGGAAAGTCTCCCTGTTCACTTTCTCTGCATCATGCAAAAAGGTGTGTATATCAGTCATGTGTCTCCCCACTTTCTAAGCTAAACTGTCCCAGATGTTGTAGCCTTTCACTGCAAGGGAATTGCTCTAGCTCTTTCACCATTTTAGATGCTTCTTTTCTGCACCTTTTCTAAGACTACAGTATTTTAGGTTCAGTGTTGAAGTACAGCCACAGCAGAGACTTCTGTAAGGGCAGTATGAGATTGACAATTTTGATTTTAATTCCTTTTCTTATCATACCTAAAAATGGAATACGTAAGATGAAGAGATTATGAAAGCATGTAGAAATGATTATGCCTATACATGTTTTTCAGTGAAATGCCACATCAGGAGACCAATTCTAAACATGCCTTTCTAAACAAGTGTTCCAAGGCTAGAACATATATTCCCACAACCTGGATTAATTTAGGTACAGATTTGTGGGGAATACATATGTATGTATGAAAGTTTGCCCCCCAAATGAGAATATGAATTAATTCCCTCTAATTGATTTCCAGAGGAGGGACATTTCATTATTTCAGCAGGTGATCAAGCGAGAAAGAACCAGAAGCCCAGCCCCTCCAAGTGTCCTCAGCAGTGATACCTTGAGATCTAGGGAGAACATTAACTTAGATGAACTCATGTCAGGATACGTACCATTGACCTTTTCGCCTTCACCATAATATTTGGAGAATGGCTTGAAAAACTGAAAGGAAATAAACCACAGTGTTTGGTTTGGCTGTTAGAAATCCATTTTGCAAGCCTGCTGCCATACATTGTGAGGTATCAAATTTCTCATGCAAATGAATTGCCAGGTTAAAAGCCACAACTAGACTAAACAGCAAGAATTGCTATTGTGTACATTAATTCCAGATCTGTAAGAACGGAAGTGCTATAGATTTAACTGAAATCTTCCTTGAAGTGTTTAGGAAAGTTCTGAGTTGGTGTTTCAGAGAAAAATGAAGAGGGAAGCAAGCAGGCAAACTCTCAGAAGAATAAATCCAGTTAATACCATCTCCTAGAACAACTCCTGTTGAACAGAGAGATGCCAGGCAAACGCTGACAGTCGTATGCACTGGGCTTAGAAAAAAATAAATGAGTTAAAAGAATTTTGCAGCTTCAGAAAAGTTTGGCAGGGAAATGGGTACACTCTCTACAGGTTTAATAGTTACAAACTTATTATGATGGCTAGGGTGGTGGTGGAAATGCAAATAATGCTTGAGATGTTTATGCATATTTATCTCTCTGTATCTGTTTGGGGTACTCATATTTGTGACCAGGAACAACAAAAAGAAGGCTGGATATATAATGGGACTTACTCTTAACAGAGTATCCACCCATCCATATACACAAAAAGGTAAGAAAAGAAAATGCAGTCTCAAAAAAAGGAGGCAGTAAGGCCAGAGAGTTCTACAACATTTGCCTATGTTAATTTCTGTGTCAAAATGCAAATTTAGAAATTATTAGTGTCATTCCAATAGGAATAAAGTAGTGCGAAAGACTGTGATCAGGTGACTATGAGCTTTCTCAGTCTGTTGTCCTGGCACTGGATAACTTCAAGGTCTGTGCTGTTGTCCATTCTTAAGGTGCTTCTGGATTTAGGCTCAGCAGCCCTTCAAGCAGTTGCTCCTCTGTAAAGCAGGCTAGAGGGGCTCTTTCTCTGTCAAGAATTACAACTTCCTGAATGCTAGGGCTCGACCATACGCAGTTGTCTGGGGCAATGGGGAGGGCAGGGACACCAAAGCCTGTGCCAGGGACCCTACACTGAAAAGCCTCCAGCCAGGAAGGCTGGCATCGGCTAGCTGGATCCAAAGCTCCCGTTTCCTTGCTCTAGCTGTAATGAGTCCTGCCCTGGCACTTGATTCCTGCTAATATTGCCCATGCACAGTCAGGGAGAATCAGCATGGTAGGAGAAGGATCACACGAATTGGGAGTGGGGAGATTGCAAGGTAGCAGGAACCAGTGCTGACAGGCAGTGAGGTGAGCCTCTGGCTTCCTGAGAGCAGCTTATGTTTCACCCAGTAAACGAATAGCAGAGGAAAGTATGGCTGCATTGCTTACATATTATAAAATGGTATGGGAAAACACAGATCAGTCAACATACAGAACTCCACCACTGGATTAACATAATTAGATATTGGAATAGAACCAAACATAAGGAAAATGTAAGACAAAACAGTGTAAGTAGATATTGTTTAACAATAATTTATAAAATTACTACCTCACATTAACATGCACAACTTTTACTTTTATCATTATTAGAGCATATTAACATTTAATTATAATACTTTTAAAGCAAATACAGAGATTAAGACATAAAGAGGGGAAAGCCAACTGGATAATAACTGTAATTCAGATTATCGTGTCATGTGCCATATTGAAACAGGAAACAAAAAAGAAAGAAGCCGGGAAGATCTGACTGAAGCAGGCTTTGGGCTCTGCCATCCCCAGATTCCCCCTAATCTTTACCTTCACGATTGGGTAATCCACGATTTCATTATCTGCACATATCTTCTCATTGGCCATATCACCACAGTCCACCACCGCCAACTTCACAGCAGGCCACCAATCTGAAAAGAGGTGGACATGAAGTCACATGGGAGGAACAAAGAAGAACTTCACAGGCAACAGCACCATTTGTCCAACAGTTGTTTATTCAACAGGAGTTGGTATTAAATGGAATTGTGCTTCCTTCTTATTCTGAGAATTTGCTGGACAAAAAGAACTTCCCCAGCCTGGTGACCTGCAGATTCTTTGGATCACAACTCCTAGCTTTCCCAACCATCACACAGGCTGGTTACAGCTATTGGGAATTGAAGTCCAACATGTTTGGAAGGCAGCAGGCTCAGGAAGGAAAAGAATCAGGGCCATAAGATCCTAAGGTGACAGCTAGTAAAGAAAGGAAAAGAGGCTTGAAAGAAGGTATTTGTCCTGCAGAATAATGGGCAAGGAGGCTGAGGGATAGAATCTGAGAGAAGTAGAATGGGCATCTGGAATGGGCAAAGAGAGCTACACATCAAAAAGATCTGCCAAGATGAGCAAGGTTGAGATTAAGCTGAGGATTTGAACTTTGAAAAGTTTAATTGTAATTAAACTTTAGATAGCATTGTTAGCATTGTTTCCGTGAAACCAAATGTATACCTAACTGAAATAACAATTGCCACTAATCTATCTGAGCTGTTTTGGGTGATAGAGCTCAAAGCATCTGTCTTACGAGGCTGTTCAGGATCTCCATTTTAACACAAAGCAGAGGTTTAACTCCAGCCAAGCTGCAAAGAAGAATGCTTGTGTGCATTGTTGTAAACCATCCTGAGATGTCAGTAATGGGATGGTCTATAAAAGCTTTAAATAAAATAAGTAAAAATAAATAAATAAGTCTACTGACCTCTGAACCTCAGCACTGTTATGAAATGTCATTACTCCAATACCTTGTGTTTACAAGAGCCTGAGAGACAGCAGTGACAAAGGGAGCGCTCTCATATACGTGCTCCCTGCACTGTTAAAACATGCTGAAAGTTTGGAATTTGGCTACATGGATAATGGTCTGAGTAGTACAGCAGGGGGCTAAGGACGTGAATGCTGGCAGCAATGGCTGCTGTGAATTCTTGCCATGCCCAGATGCTCTGCTGAGGAGTTGCAGGCAGGCCGACAACCGTGACCTCTCTCACCTGTGGATAGCAATGGGAATGAGAATGCTCAGCCCTGCTGGGAACCATCACTTACACAGAGTGTCTTGAGGCAGTTTGCTAGAGGGTTTCTCACATCCTGTCTTGCAGGTCAGGGGACAAAAGAAACCAGCACTGTTAGGAACCACCACTTCTGACAGATCTGTGTGTGTGAGTGTGAAAGAGAGGTTGCCAATGGTCTCTGTAAATGGGAGTGGATATCTGTGTGGAGGGAGAAAGAAGTGTGCCTGCCCTTCTGCAAAAGCATAGTGGGGGGGTGGGGGGCAGGCTGTCTCTCCGCAGGAGTGCAGGTGCATCTGTCTGTATGAATGGGGCTGACTGCGTGAGCGGTGTGTGAGAGAGCAATGCTGCCTTTTACCTGTGATCCTGCTTCAGGGGGTATTAGAGGCTACTTTTCAAAATCACTTGGAAAAGCTCTGCCGGACAGCACTGTGCGGACACAAAGACGGAGCAATGTGCTTCGCCGCCATCTCCACCACAGAGCAGGCTCCAAGCTGGGCCAGCCCCTGTTCTGGTGAGTTGCCTGCCACGTGCATCCACACCATCATCCCAGCTTCTTAGATGTTCTCAGATACCCAGTACAGTGGGGCGCCAAACAGGCTCTGTGAGCAGGGATGGTGCCCTTTCGTCTGCATCTCACAGAGCGACCCCCCTTCAAGGAGCACACCGGCCATGAGGGCAGCAGAGGCTCCTCCAGAGCGCCCAGGACGCCCTTTCTGGAGGCCGCCAGTGCCTCCTGGGAGCCGGAGCCTGCACACTTACCAATGACCTCCTTGGCCAGGTCTAGCCAGACGGGGACAAAGTCGACGCTGTCATCGCACCAGTTAGCATAAAACTGGACCGCCCAGGCGCTGCGCGAGTAGAGGATGAAGTTCTTTAGCGTGTTTGCGTCCAACACCTTCACCCCGTCTTGAGGCCCGTAGTGGACGATGCCGCAAGACCGGGAGAAGGGCAGAAGCAGCGAGACGGAGACAGCCAGCAGGAGGAGGCCGGCGGGGCGCGGGAGCCCGGGACGGGCGCGGGAGAGCCAGCTTTGCATGACAGGGACGAGGAGGAGAGGGCCTGCCGCGAGGAACCGCACGGTGCTCGACTGCGAGGGGAAACGCTGAGGAGCCCCTAATAACACTTGCAAGCCCCACCCCCTGGACACCCCCCCCCCCGTGTGTCCACAGCCTCCCTGCAGCCTTCCCGAAAGAGCAGCCCTGAGGGCCGGCACTGCGAGTAAGGGGGCTGCTCCCTCTTGCACCCACCCCCAGCGCCTGGCGAGAGCAGCACGGAGCGCTCGAGGCCAGCCCCTCTCTCCCCCGTGCCCAAGCCGAGGGCGAGATGGGCGCGGCTTCTGCCAAGTGGCCGTGCTGGCATCGTGAGAAGCGGACTGTGAATTGGCGGGAGAGAGGGGAAAAAGAAACGGGGGGGGGGGGGGGGGGGGGGGGGGGGGTAGGAGAAAAAAGGCCGGGGGGGGGGGGGGCGGCGGCGGCAGGAGTCTAGAAGAAAGACGGCCTGCTTTTCTTCATTGAGAACATGTGCACGGCCTTGGCGCACTGGTGTTGCAGCAACAGATTTCCAAACACTTCCTATTTAGAAAAGGTGTGGGTGGGGAGGAACTTTACTTTCTGTTCTGCTTAATGTATATGGCAAATGACTGGATCTCAAACAGTCTGAAATGCTGGGTAGAATGACACAGGCAAATGAAGAAACGTCTCATGGTTTATAAACCCAGCCACAGACTACAAACTTGTGTTGGTTTTATGTCTGTTTAATTACCATGAATTTGCAAAGCATGGCTATTTGATGGCTCTGCAGGGTAAAAGATGCAACAGGTTAACCTGCACATTAACTAGTTTTTTAAACCTGACAAAAAGCGAAGTGTGAATCTTCCAGCACCTGCTGACATTTGTCTTGCGTGCATATGGAAATATGCTTCACTTACTTCACTTAGTTCCTAGGTGACCCTGGTTAAGGGGTTTAATAGGATGCTTGGCATAATCAAGTCCTTTCCTACTCAATGTGATTTCTGCACATTAATGAGTTTATTGTTAAATTGAACACTTGAACCCTCTTGAATAAACACAAGTTTCCATTGAATAACAAGTTTCCATATTGTATTTCAATGTATTTTATTGTGTTGTAAGCCGCCCCGAGGTTTCGGCAAGGGGCGGCATAGAAATGTTATAATAATAATAATAATAATAATAATAATAATAATAATAATAACCCAGTCAATCAGATTTATCCATGTTGATTAATGATGTTCACATTGATATTTGCTGTGGACAGCTGCCCAGCCAAGGTGCAAAGGCAGCATTGTACTCTCTCTAAGAAGAGCTTTTCTAAAAGAAAGTCTCGAGTTGCTGTTAAGAACTTTTTCTATATGAGGCATCTCCTAACTTGTGATTGCTTACTCATGGTTGTTAACAAGTCTTTTGGATTACGTTGCAATCCTCCAGTTTGTTGCTGTTTTCATGAGCACTTTTTCAAAGTTTTTTTTAGAGTGGGGAAAAGGGGGTATTATTTCTGAAAATGAATGAAATGTTCCTACTTTTGTAACTGCAATATTCCATTACTCTATAGTGCCACCTAGAAATTTTATGTGTCAGAAAAGCAGGAGAGGAAAAGCTCTTGGTGTTGATTGCAGATCTAAATATCATGACAAAACCAAAAGAAAATACAGTGGTTAAAAGCCTCTGGTGGAAAAACTCTTGATCCACTGTATCTGCCTTTGATTTTGTGACAGAAGTAAGGTCTGAGCTCATGGAGGAAAACACAGATATGTGGCAGCATATCATGAATTTACTCAACTGCAAGGCTGTTTACCATGTAGTTTCTTAGGACCTGGAAATGTTCTCTAGGTTTCAAAACACCATAACTTAAAAAAGGGCTATATTGTATTCACAAACCAGATGTAGTCTTGTGCATGTGGTTAGTGCCTGTACTTAAAGCTTGTTCCAGTCAACATGGTTGGTTTTCTTAAGGAGACTCAGGGAAGAGAGAGAGAGAGAGAGCTCTTACTTTCAGGTAAGGTTCAGCAGATGTGAAGGAAAACAGGTGTGGTTATTTAACCATGCAGGTCAGTTTCTAACAGTTCTAACTGATTCTTCCCATTGTGATACTGTGCAGGTAAGGCTATTCAAATACCTAACACAATCTGAGCTAGAGAACCACAGGAAGAAAAGACAGCTTGACCTTCCCCATCTGCCACTCCAGGATTCTGGACAATGTTTTGCCAGTTATCTGTCTATAACAAGGGGCTCAATAATAACTATTCTCCTCTACAACATAGCCATTGTTTTCTTTTGCAAAACATCACACAGGCAAAGCAAGTTACCTCTATATTATGGGACTGGTTTATAAGCCTTTTTTCTGTGTAAAATGCAGTGTGCCTAGATGAAGCAGCAGTGGTAGTGGGCATGATCTCAGACTGACGATCTCCTCTGTCGGAGGGTTGGTTTATATAGCCTTGTAGAGCTTTTCCACCTGAGCTCATTTCCTTTCTCCTTGCTGCCTCCAACATGTCTTGGCACCCTCAGTGCTGCACAGACTCCCATTCTTGCTTGGTCTGACATACCTGCTCCATGTACTCCTGCTCCTTTTCTCCCTGGAGTGCCACACTAAGTCACTCCTTTTCCAGCAGCTGCTTTGCTACTGTTATTTCAAACATGGAGGAGCTGTTTCATCTAACACGATGTCTGAGACTGGCTCTATTGTTATATAAGTAGTTGTTCTCATTTTACATGTAATCCACAATGGGGGCATGATTTCAGTCCTGGGTGTGTTATTTATTGATATAATGGATTTATATGCCACCATAATAGCCCATACCTGGGCTTTCTGTGTGGCTCACAACAGAGTATAGTACAGAGAATATCCAATTTCTTCTCGGTTAAATCCCTGTTCACTTAGTGCCCTTGGGCAGGTCTTGGGCAGATGTCTGTCAACCTAGCCAGGGTTGTTTTGAGGATGAATCCATTTTCATGGGAAAATTATGTTTCATATTTTTTTCAAACCATATTTTAACACTCATGATTTTACAAGTGTGTTGGAAAAAATAGGCAATTTTTGCAAGAGGTCTAGTGTCCAAAAGGTGGACATTTCCATGGGTGGCTTTTCACTGATCAGGCTCAGTTTTCTTATTCTCAGTCTAACACTGAACTGGTGCTAGTATTCAGTAGTGCTAGTGGTCTTTTCTTATTTGATGCTGCAGTAGAAAGTGGAGTTTTGTTGTTTCTGTCTTTTGCTATGCTATAATTTGATGTGTTCCAATTTATTCATTTCAAATTGAAAGCTGCTTGAATTTTGATAAAGAAAAGTGTGGTAAAAACAAAACTATGTTTTCATTAACTGCTTGTATGAACAGCCCCTTCTCAAATTGACTAGACAGCAGTGCAAACTGGATACCAACTAGATGAACCAGCGCTTACCATAGACTTCCAGCCTTTGTCCCAATAAAATTAATTATGTTATTTAAAACAACAGAATGATTCAGCAAAGATTAACTCCCCATATTAATTGATTATATTTTTGAAACATTTTTCTGATATGCATAATTGACTCTGGTGGAAGAATTTGGTTTATTCAGAATTTAGGATCTTTATATTTAGAAATTTAAAGTACACACACAAAACATTCAATCTACTGAGCACAATCCCAATTATTTCCATGTGGTTTACACAAAAAATCCTATCAAAGACTTACAAAAATGAATTGCATTTTCACAGCAACATGCACATTTTGGATAAACTCTAGATTAGTCATCTTTGAGCCTCAATTCCCAGACTATTTAATAGGAATGCATAAGAATGGAGCTTTAAAATGATTACAGATATGCAGTAAAAGCGTTGTTATATACAAAGCAGAGAAGTGAATAGGCAGGTTAAAAATAGCAGTGGCTCATGAAAAGATGGATTTGCAGGAACTTTGCCTTGAAAGCAGGAAGACTGATGTGAGAGCAGTGACATTGCATCCTCATTGAGGTTCAGGACTCTGCTCATACCAATGTTTGCACATTGGGCCATGTCCAGCATTATCAAGAAGCAGAAGTTACATTTGTTCCTGTTACAAATGGAGCTGGTTTCTTACAGCTCTAGGCCACCTCCGCTTCTCTAAGGTCATAGAATCATAGAATAGTAGAGTTGGAAGGGGACATGAAAGCCATCAAGTCCAACACCTGCTGTTGCAGGACACTGTGTTACCCCATCCCACTCAGGTGGCTGTTCAGTTTCTTTTTGAATGTCTCTAGTGTGGGAGAGCCCACCACCTCTAAGCAGCTGGTTCCACTGTTGTATTGCTCTGACAGTGAGGAAGCTTCTCCTGATGTCCAGCCTGAATCTGGGTTGTTGCAACTTGAATTGATTATTCTGTGTCCTACACTCTGGCATCAGCAAGAAGACATCTTGACCTTCCTCTTTGTGACAGCCTTTGGGGTACTTATAGAGGGATATCATGTCCCCCCTCAGTCTTCTCTTCTCAAGGCTGACCATGCCCAATTCTCTCAGTCTCTATTAACAGGGCAATGTTTTCAAACCCTGGATCATTTTTGTTGCCCTCTGCTGGAGTCTTTCTAATTTACCAGCATCTTTCTTAAATCTTGGTGCCCAGAATCGAACTCAATATTCCAGGTGAGGTCTGACTAGTGAGGAGAATAGAAGAACTCCTACTTCTCATGATTTGGAAGTAATACTTCTGTTAATGCATTGCAAAATAGCATTTGCCCTTTTGGCAGCTGCATCGCATTGTTGGTTCATGTTTAGCCTATTGCCCACAATCACTCCAAGATCTCTCTTAGTTCTGTTGAGCCACGTATTCTCCATCGTGCATCAATGCATTTGGTTACTTTTTCCTAGGTGGAGGGCTTGGCACTTGTCCTTATTGAATCTCATTTTGTTGCTTTCAGCCCAGTGTTCACGTTTATCGAGATTGCCCTTTCTGACTTCTAGGGTGTTTGCTATTCCACCCAGTTTTGTATCATGTGCAGATCTGATTATCTGTCCTTGTACTTCCTCATCTAGAACATTCATGAAGATGTTGAAGAGCACTGAGCCCAGGACTGAGCCCTCCTCTAGTTATCTCTACCCAATTTGAGAATGTGCCATTGAGGA